ATTTCATTATTGTCAAGTTGTCCCAAGCTTATTACCAAACATGATGAAATTTGTAATGAATTTTGCGGTAAAAAATAACGAAAAATTCTCTCCGTGTATCATATTCTTTCTATAGAGGTTGTAGTTAAGATTATAATGGTTGGATCTCAATCTGTTGATCAATATGATCTCGCTTCTATTAATGAAAAGTTTAAAATATCAAGGTTTTTCTGACTCAGGTGGATATAAAGTGGAGTAATGCGCGCCAGTCTCCTTGGCTTTGCTCTCAAGATAATGGCGGAAACGACGCCGCGACCTGGATCTAGCCTCCGCTTGAAGGTCAGAGTAGGGAGTTCAGAAGAATCTCCTCGCGCCCGAGTCACATGCGTCCTTAGCTGCTTCATCAGCCACCTCATTCCCCAGGATACCTTTATGCGCAGGAATCCAAAAGAAAGTGCTCTCAATACCGATCTCTTCCAATTGCAGCAGAAGTTGCTTTATTCTGTGGATAAGGTAGTTATCGTTAACTAGTTTGTCTGAACTGACAGCTTCCAGCACGCTCCGAGAGTCAAAGAAAATTATGATTCTGGAATAACCCGCATCTAACGCGAGTGTTAGAGCTTGCAAAATGGCCCATGCTTCCGCTGTGAATACCGAAAAGTACGAGGTTAGATTATATTTGAAACGGTGTCCGAGCTCCGGGGAGTAGAAAGCCACGCTCGCGCAACCGTCTTCTGATTCTTGGATCCGTCCGTGTAGAATGTGAGAGCAGTGATGCCAGACTTGGCCCGCACTCGCGCATGCGCGTTGTTTACAGCTGAGTGGGCAGTGCTGTAGCCATTAGGTTAGGTTAGGTTAAAGTAACGATGTGGCGTCGTGTGGACCGCGAAATCTGCGCGCCAAACCGGATACAGGAGATGCGAGGAATCCCAAGAGGCAAATATAAATGAGGTTTTTGGCAGATTTCTCTTACCCTTGCAAGGAATTTTGGTATTCATAGTTTCCTGCCGAATAAATTATTTATTTTTTTACCTAGAAGAAATGTGCTCTACCTGTAAAATTATTTCACCGTCTATTCTCATCATGATTTATCCACACAATTAATATTACTGCATGCTAAGAGGTATGTCTAATTTCAATATATTTATAATTCTATTTGAGGCGACGAAGGATGCCAGTTTCACGAACGGATTAGATACTGTTGTGCCTCTGTCCGGCACGGTTCGGGTTCCACCAAAAGGACTCAAGGAATTATCTCACAAATTTACACCTTTATGTAATCTTTAGAAAATATATATTTATTCTTTAATTTCACAATACACAAGTATGGTTTACTTATAGTCACCACCTCACTTAGCGGTACTCGCGTAGTAATTTATACCATAAGAACTCGGCGCGATGCGTTACTTTTCTTAATTGACCGAATGCTGATCCCCGACCACCTGCGCGCTCGCGCTTATATCTGGTGCTTTGGAGGTCGATCTCGTGCCTTCCGTGTTGTATCGTCAGCGTTCCACTGATCGGTCGAGGCCAGCTTCTGCAACTTCCTAGTCTGCGATAATCTTGTTATTTTATTTCAGGGTTTCCTTTTATATCCACTACCCTGTTTATTTTAATTTATTAATACATCATTTAATTTATTCCTTTCGTGGCGCAATTGTCACTTGTGCAATACCGCACTCGTGACAATACTCTACTGGCGCTTTAGACTGCGCGCATGCGCGAGTGCGGACCAAGTCTGGCATCACTGTGTGAGAGCGGAGCTGTTGAGGTCCCTTAGATTGTGATTAAATTGTTGAACAATTTCACTGTTAAAACTATCCTTATAGCATATCATGAATTCGCGGAATTCCTTACGGAAGATAAAGGCCGCGTAACTGCGTTCGAACGCCGGAAGAGAGGGGGTGATCCCGATTGATCACGGCTCGATTGGACACCACCAATCACAGCGACCGGTGCTTAGGAGCTTTGTAATCTCAAGCGCTGTGAGTGGCTCGTGTCCAATTGAGCCGTGTCCAACTGAGTGCCACCCGAATGAACCCTCTCTGATTGGCAGTTAGCGGTATCCTCTCCACATGTTCTAGGCTATCGATGACCGGATGGTTCTTTTTGGACATGCACTTTAAGATGAACCTCTCGTTCAAGAAGCCGAATCTGAGTTTTAGAGATAGTTCTCTTGCTTCGCACAGCATTACGTTAATTGGTTGTCTGTATCCCAGTGCTATTCTGATGGCTTTATACTGTAACCTTTCCAATTTAAGGAAGATGTTGGGATTGTCATGCCAGGCGAATAGAGCAGGCATACTCTACAGTACCCCTGAAAACCGATCTATAGATGGAGAGCAATGAGCAACAAAAATTGTGGGTGGGAGCCCCACCATACGGCCTGAGCGAGGACATGATGTTGATGATTGCTCGTCCCTTTTGAATAAGATATTTGCAGTGCAGGTTACCTTTCATTTTGCTGTCAAGAGTCACTTCTAAAAATCTAACCTGCTCCGTCCTCGGAACGGCTTGTTGTTTAATCATAAGCGAGTGGCTGGCAATTGGCTTGTTTTTTTGAAGCGTAAACGTCATCCATTTGGACTTAGAGGGGGAGAGGTCCAGACCTTTATCGTTGAGGAAAACTGCGATGTTATTAAGGGCTTTTTGTACCCTGGAGAGCGCTTCTAGAGGGTTACTATCTGCAACGAAGATGACAATATCATCCGCATACTGGAGGAATTCAGCTTCCCCCACACATTCCCTGATCCTGCTGAGGGATAAGTTGAAGAGTAAGGGACTGAGAACTGATCCCTGAGGGGTGCCTTTATAAGCAAAGTATTTGTCGCTGATATTCCCATCTTCCAGGAAATGCACTGTCCTAGCAATAATCAAATTTTCCACAAATTTTCTAATCACGGCTGGTGTTCCGACGTTTTTGAGCTCGTTCATGATAGCGGAAGGATGTACATTGTCGAACGCTCCGGTGATGTTAAGGAAGGCAGCCACCATGAACTCCCTGTTGGAGACGGCTCCTAGGGTTAGGTTGTGACCGGAACAATGCCATAATTAATTATAAACCGTATATATTTCAATTAATTTATTATAAATTCTTACTTTGGTGATTTGGACGTTTCGTTCTTGTCTAACTTCAGAATAATTTTCTCTTCTCTCTCTAACTTGTGAGAAGTGTTCCAATTAATTCAGGATCGTTAAAATAATTTGAAAATAAGTAAAATAATTCGGCTGACTCGCCGTTATGACAAAATAATTCAAATAATTAAAGTGACGTGTTCAACAAACCTTTGAGGTATGTATTCGCTCTTCGGCGGCTTTTAATCATGTTTTTCTTTTCAGGGTCTCCGAATCCATTGCAGTGTATTTGTTAATTGTCAAGTGTATGGTAAGTATTCTTTTGGTATCTTTATTTCAACATGCTTTTCTTTAATATTGTTTCTTTATTTATCTTTCGGGTTATCACACTGGATTGGACTGGTTCGCCTGTCGGCTGCTGTGTTTTGCAGGATATTTAAGTAAGTTGATATTTGGTTGAATAATTGTAGGAAACGTATCAAATGTTTATTTTTAGTATAATAATTGATGTTTAAAAATATAATGACTTTCCGTCATGAGAATAATAAAATGCTGTTAAGTAATTAAATCATGTATATCACATCTAGTGTGCGGCGTAGACCTTTTCAAATAATTATGTCAAAACTTTTAAAATGATACAGGTAATAAAATAATAATAAAACATTAAGAGTAATTATAATCCGCGTTCTCTAAGTATCTTCTATGCGGTTGAGGTGTTGTCTACTGGATCTGTCGTCTTGTTTGCGGTCTCGCCTTGCTGTGTATAGCTCGTTTCCGGAATATCCGGTGGAAAATCTTTCTTTGCTGCCGCTGTGGTTAAAAGTGGTGTAGGTATTTTTCCTATGTCATCCTGGAATTAATTGTGTCTCCAGGTTATTTATTAGCGGACTGGGAGAAAATTCGGTCGGTCGCAAGGTTAGGTTAGGGTTAGGTTGGTGAAGGTTACTAAACTGTTATTACATGACCGACTAGGACTGAATTCCATCTGTTCATGAGGGAGGAGGGATTGCGATTCCATGAGCCAGAGTAGTTTCTAATACACAATTTTTTCCATTAGTTTTAGGACACAAGAGAGCAAGGAGATAGGCCTGACTTCCGAGCCTCCCGCTTTGGGGATGGATACAACTAAAGACACCTTCCATTCATCCGGGACAGACCTCCCGGTCAAGAATCTGTTAAAGAGATTCTGTAGTAGTTCCTTATATTTAACTGGCGAGTGTGCCAGCATGTTGTTGCTGATTCTGTCCAGGCTTGGTGCCGATTTCTTCTTTGTGGTGGAAATTGCACATTTCAGGTGCTTTACGTTGATTGGGGATTTCCTCGAAGACAGCGCCGGAGTTGTTATCCTCCTTTTTCATTTCCTCGAGACTCGTTGAGATATCTTGAAAACATGATGACGAACATAGCTTCTGAATGGCTTCCTGCATAGACTGTCTTTCTTTAAATGGGTCAGCTGTATGATTTGAGAGCGACATGTTGCGTCGTTTGAAGACTCTGATCAATGACCAGATTTCTGAGGTCGGAGTTTTAGAGTCAAATGATTCGACGAATTCTCTCCATCCTTTCCTCTTTTCCCTGAAAAGGACCTTAGAGCACTTTGCCCTCGCTTTTTTAAAATTGTGAAAGTTTTCAATTGTAGGAGTTCTCTGCCAAATTTGGGCCGCCTCCCTGCGTTTAATGATTGCTTCCTGGCATTTATCCCTCCGACCACGGAGGGGTGGCTCTCTCATTGGATATTAGTACGGTGCCCGGACTTGTAACTTTAGAGGAAGAGGAGCAGCACGTTACGGCCGTGTTCACTAAATGGTTCGTCAATCTGGAGTATGCCTCTTTTTCGTCAGGAGGTAAATGACTCATAAACGAGTCATATGAGTTGGCCAGGGCGCCCTGAAACGCAGCCAGCTCTTTTTTATCGAGTTTGATTTTATAAGCGTATCGTCGTCGTAAGATCAAGTTGGTACCGACTCTGACTGTGATGGGGAAATGATCACTGCCCCAGGTGTTGCAGTAGCTATGATTATGTCTATGATTGAAGGACCCGAGTTAGGCGGAAGAACTAGAGTAGGTCGTTGGTGAGAATGCGTGCGTGATGGTCTTCCGTTGCTGTTAAGATAAATTTGCCGGCGCGGTCTGTGTTTGAGCAGCCCCATTGAGAGTGATAGGTGTTGTAGTCACCAACAAGAATGCAGTTGGTCTTAGAGTCTCCACATCTCATCAGATGTTCGTAAAATTGTGCGGGAGTATTGTGGTTTGGGTGCCGGTAGATGTTGACGATTGTGAATTTCTCCTTGTCTGAAGATACCTCCACAGCGAGCATCTCCACTGAATCATCCTTCAAATCTGACGGGTCTATGATGCTGAAAACGATATTATATCTGATTAGGATGCATATTCCTCTCATACCTGGTTTGGTAATGTCCGCTCTTAAAGTATAAAAACCACGCAAAGAAAAGATAGAGAAAGGAGAGAGCAGCGACTCTTGAATGCAAATAATGTCATAATTTTTGGAGATTGCCTGCAGTTGAGGGAGTTTACTTCTGGCCCCGCAACAATTCCATTGGAGGATGTTAAAAGAGCGAGGGATTCTTCTGTTATTAGTGAATCTTAGTATTAATTTCTGAAGTTTCAGTGGAGTCAAAAGAGTTAGATCCAGTGCCGGTTAATAGCCCAAAGAGGAAGTCAAGGTTGAGGGTTAGAACTTCTGATAAAATTGGCTAACCTTGATAATATTGCAATTACTGGATCGATGAACGTTGAAATTTGCTGACTGTTGAATAAGTTCTTGAGACTAGATAAGAGAGTTATTATTTGCTCAAATATACTGTTGGCGAAGCTAAGATTCTCGTTCCCTGAAGAAGCAGAATTCTGTCCTCCATAAGGTCGACCGTTAGGTTGGCAAAGGATTTCATTATGTTGTTGCCGCGTTGTGGAATTGGTGACCTTGAGGGCTGACGGGTGTTCACTACTGCGATGCCCCCGAGGTGCCTCCAGGCGAGCGCTATTCGGCGGAAGAGGTTCCACTTTAACGATCCTCGGTTTTCGGAGAGATCGCCTCGGCGATAATCCGCTTACTGCTTCCGCGTAGCTGAGATGATGTACTCTCCCGGCGTCTCCAAGGTCGTCAGAATTTAAGCTGGAAAATCTATTAAATGTATTGTATTTGGAAAAACCTCGAATATCCTTGTGCAGAGACTGCTGGGAGTTGCTGAGATACGGAAAGTTGCGAAGATTCATTGTGACTGAAGAGCTAGCAGGATTGTTGTTTGCGGCGATTATTCTTTTTGCCTCGACATGAGGTATGTTTTCATATGTAGCTAGGTTTTCGACTTCCTTGTGATTCCTGATTACCGGGCAGTCAAATGAGGTTGCTAAATGCTCTCCGCCGCAGTTGATACATCTAGATGGTAGTGATCTGTGCTCGCAGTCTATGGATTTGTTATGCTCTTGACCCTAATAAAGGCATCGCGGTTTTGAGCTTTTGCAGTCCTTGCCTATGTGCCCCATTCTGTAGCATACGTAACATATCCTGATCTTAGGTACATATGGCTCCACTGTGTATTTGGCATTGAACAGAGTTATGTCACTAGGTAGTTGTTGTCCTGCGAATTTGATGCATAGAGTTCTAGAAGGGATATAAGTAGTTTTATGATTAATGGTCATGCGCCGGTTCAGTCTTTGAACCTCTAGGATTTTGATTTGTGACCGAATATTGTCCTTGATGCAATCTTGGGAGAGCGCTTGATATCCTTAATAATACCTGTTCTGAGGACGCGGTATGATGGAATGAAGGCCCTGATCTTGTATTTTTCGAAAGCTAGGTTGTTAACTAAGCAGTTAGCGGCTGCCGCCGACCTAACCTCTACTATGGCCTTGCCACTTCCTAATCGCTTAATCGATAAAATGTTCACGTTGTCAATTTCTGATACTATTTTAGATAAAACGGAGAAATGTCGGGTAGAGGATTTGTCCGAGTATATGTATACCGCATAAGGCGATGCGTCTAAGTCGGAATATTGATAATTAGATTTATGTGATACGACCTGTTTGATATGAGACGAGGAGGGATTATTTGCTTTGTCAGATTTGGAAAGCGTAGCTGCATTACTAGCTTGACCGGGCGCCTTCGCAGCCTTCAATTTAGTCTTGTGTGGGGAATCCTGCTGTCTGTTCCTTTTCCTGGAAGCTT